GAAAATTACATAAAATTATATAAGAAATTTATCTTATACAAGTGCATATAAGAAAAGAATATCATACTGAAAGAAGTTATTAAATTTACAAAATATGGCTATTGAATCATCGTGCATCTACATAATTTAAAAACTCTGGGTAATTACGTGTCTTGGTATTTAAACCATGCCATTAAAGAAAGGAGAAAATGACATTATTGCTGTTTTAGTTCAAAAAGCTGCATATAAAAGGAAAAATCAATTCAGAAAAAGGACACCTCCTCCACAATTTTTAAAGGTTATCTTAAAGAAGTTTCCGTTAAACTTGTTCGCCATTTATTAACTTTAGAAGGTCCTTAAGGCATAAAATGTCAACTCACGCTTAGCCCCCACGAAATTGAAACATTCTGGATTTAAAGAGGAAACTATCTTACGTTAAATTTTAATCTCATGTAGCAAAGTATTGAAACTTGAGGGTTCAACTCCTGTAAAGCAAATATAAGTACAATGGTAATTATTTAAGATTTAATTTCGTTTAAATTTATAGCCCTCGATACCAAATTTTATGCATTATTTTAATTATAATTGTAGAGTTAGCGTAATGATTGGAGTTTTAATTAAATTTCTGTTTGAAGAAGAAGGTAGGCATTTTTATATATTTGATTTATGGTAGTATCTAATATTAAGAATTTTAAGTTTTATAGAAAAGGATCGAGGAAAGATGAATATTATCCTAATATTGGTATTTTTACACTTTTGAAATTTTCTTTTGTTTATAAATTAATTTTTTCATTTATTCTTGAAACTCTAGAAATTAACGATTCATAATATAAAACAATTTCTGCGAAAATAAATGTAAAGTGTATTCCTTTTTATGTAATATATAGGAATGTGTATTACAAAGAAAATATAGTGAAATAATAAATGGAAAATGGTAATTTCTATTTTATAAAATGTTATAAAATTTATATACTATTTATAATTCTCTAAATATCAAATTTAATTTCTACATAACATTTTAATCGAATTTCAGTAACACGTTTGAATATATGAGATTTTTAATTACATTATCTAATTAAATGCAAAAAGGAAAATCGTGAATTATTAAAACAAAAAAAAGCTTCTCTAGTATTTTACAGAATATTTAATAGTATTACATTTACAGTATTTACAGTGTGATATTTGTAATATTTACAGAGTTAATTCATAATAAATTCTTGCAGTATTTGTAATATTAATTAATAGTATTATATTCGCATCATTTGTGATATTAATTAGTAATACTGAATCAGCGATATTAGCAGTATTAATTAATAGTACCATAGTTGCAACATCTACAGTATCGATTACAAGTATTTACAATATTAATTAATAATATTACATTCGCATTACTTACAGCACCAAATAATAATATCATATTTAAAATATTTATATCATTAATCAATCGTATTGTATGTGCACTATTTATAATATTCATTACTAGTATCACGATACTAATTAATACTATTATATCCACAGTATTCTTCATATTAATTAGTAGTATTATTTTTACCCTATTTATAAAATTAATTAACAGTATTATGTTTACAGAATTTATCAAATTAACGAATAACACTAAATTTGCAATATTTATAGAATTAATTGATAGTATTATATTTGCAACATTTACGCTATTAATTAACACTGCTACACTCAAACGATTTACAGTGTCCATCAATAGCTCTTAGAAGATCTCTCGTATGTTACACGTGCCCGACACAATACAACCACGTACATCAAAAGCGTACCGAAAAACGGGATTAAAATCCATCTTCGATTGTTTACTGTCGTTACTCGGGGTGGCAGAGGGGTGGGAAAAAGGGAGCATGTTCGAAAGTTGACTTATATTGTCCTATAAACAGGTCTGGCTAAAGGCAATCTGATAAAAAGACTTAATTAAACGAGGTTGGACGTCAAAGGCGACCGCAGAAACTTTATCGCGCGCAGAAGAAAACGAAAAGAACAGGCATGGTGCAGGGTAGGGGTGGAAAATGTTTGCGGCGCAAAGAGCTACGGTAATGTGTGGAGCTTGGAGCCAACTCGAGGGCTAATTACACAAAGTACATTTTCAGCCCGAAGCGTCGAGAGATAATTGTGTTAGTTCGTAATTATATCTCCCCACGACTTCTTCAGTTTTCTTATTTCCCGATTCGCGAAATAATAAACAAGAGTCCGTGGTAGGCCGGCATCGATCCGCAAATTAACCGCGAATCAGCGATTGATTGGCCCCTGCTATCGATTGGAAAACTTAGTTAGATCTATGTTGCTCGTTATTGGCATCCTACCCGGCAATTATCGTTAATCTCCGCCGAATATTTGTTTGGAGCATACTTGCCAATTGAATCGTGCGAACGACTAATTGTACAAGGGCGACAATTTGCATGATGAATATGGGACGTTGAAACGCTTGCCTCGATGAGCGATGCATGAACAGCGTTTAGCCCACGGCCTTGTGGTACCTTTGTGGCAATATTGCGTGAGGGTAAAAAGGGAAATGAAATTTTTTTGCATTTATCACGTTGCATCTAGTACGATCGTGTTTGGAAAATACCAATTTTTATTTTTGACGTATTCGATGAATGATTTTTGATATATTTATTTTCACTTTATAAGTAATTCTGTATATTTTTATTTTATAAGTAATTCTATATATTT